ATTTTGTTTTTATTGTTTATAAATGATAATTTTATATAACGTTGAAGAATTTGGGAAAAACTATTTTTTAAAAGACATATATTCTTTCTAAACTGTTTATATCTATATATTTGTTTATTTGTGATATTGCTTGTAAGTGAACTTGGAATTTTCCTTGAGGTTTTGTGTGCATTCATAACCAAAACATTTTAAATCAATTGGGATTTGAGTCCATTAGGAAACTACTGACAGTTCCTGAGAGCCTATGGCGCGTAATTGTTTCGTTTCGCTTTGTTTGAATTTGGTTTTGCCTTTGTTTTGTTTTTTGTGTGCAGGCCTAAAAATAACTAACAAATCGGCACGAGCACGTTGTCTATATAAATACATATGTACATGCCACGCAAACAGGCCAGATTGGAGTGTACTATATATTAGGAAGGCATTTAGCTGATGACTAACACATAAAAGTGAAATTGACCAAAGGCAGCAAAAACGAGCGAAACGAGCCATCAAAATTGAATGTGAATCAGAATCTGGTGGGCTCCATTGTTGCTCCTCGGGTTTCTCAGGGGTCTCGTATTGGATCTTGTACTGACCTCCTGACTGGTTTGCTCCTGAGTTTCTCCTGGGCGTTGATTGGCCAGCCCACATGCAAAAGTCAATGGCAGACAAAGTTCCAGCCACCTTGGGGCTCTCTGCCCTTTGCCAATCATTCGCAGGGCCACAACAAACAAAATACAAAACAAAAGCAAAAGAAAAAGAAAAAATAAAATGAAATCCCACTGAAACCGAACTCGAAGCCCATTAACTGCGCTCGAGTGGATAACCTTTTTTTCGGGCCCCGACTTCGAGTGGAATTTTTAATTGCGTGAAGGAAAAATGTTCGGCGAGGGAGGCTCGAAATTCATTTCAAAGAAATCACTTCCTTCGAGAAATGTTCAGGCCCAAAAATTATTACAGGCGCGCAACCTTCGCGTCCTTCGCCCACCCACTTGTTAGCCTTGCGCCTTCATGGCCAGCAAAACAAAGCCAAGTCGACCTGCACTTGCCACAAATTCGGTGGTAAGCAGCTCAAGGTTAGTGGAAGGAAAACGAAATGATAAAAAAAATTATTTAAAAATTTTATAAAATTTTTAGCGAAAGATGAAGTACTTTGATAACTTTTATGAGATAAGGTTTATAAGACCCTAACATTTTTTCTACGCTTTATAAAGTCTTTAAATTTTTTTTTCAATTATTCATAGACAGAAAACTATTGATTATTGCAAATGCTAGTAAAAAAATTCAATCTTCTAACTACAAGCCACAAAAATTTCGAACTAATGATATTATTTTTCTCAGTTGCGAAATACTAATTATATGTATTTGTATAATTAATACCAATCATTTTCAGTGTAGCCTGACGGGGTGGAAGGGCAGGGCACCGAGTGCTGCTTTGCATTTAATTACGCTTAAAAATTAATTAATTTCTTTTTTGTGTGGAGTGACTCGGGTCTCGAGTCCCGAGACATAATCAAGCTGCCGCTGCCAAAGAGGACTTCAGTGGCGGCGTCGCCACCGACGCCTTAATGTATGCTACATTGCGGCCACTTTTATCTGCTTGGCATTATCCTTGTACTTGCTGCTGGGTGGTGGGTGGCTGTGGGTGGTGCGCACTTGTGTGCCTTAAATAATTCAACAAGCGCAGTTTCGCGGTTTCCAGCAACAGCAACAGCAACAACAGCAGTAAAAACAAGAGAGTGGCAGGGCAAGTCAAGCATTGTTAAATGCCAAGGATAAATTCCCGGGTCTGGGTTAATCCGAACTGCTCGGTCACACCAACACAGGCGTGCAGCCACAAGTCCATTATCCGTCGACTTACAACGTTTTGATATCGCTTTGATCCTTGATAATAATTCCCTAAAACAATTACACTGGGCAGGGAAGGTCATAACTTTGGCGGCATACATTAAATACCCGTCATCAAAGGAGTGAAAAGGGTTTATATTAAAACTCGATTCATATTCATTAATTGAAGGGAAAACTGAACCACTGGGAATCATAGTCTAAATAAGCAACGAGCTATACGTGTAAAAAATAATTTAAGCATTTTGGATAATCCGTTTATAATCTAGTTATTTGATAAATAAATGTAAACTTGCCCCGTTTTATTAATATTATGGGTGAACTAAAAAAATTTCACTTAATTCAAAGCACTTTAGTCTTTGATTTCTTTACTAATTAACTTTGTATTTCTTGTCCAAAAAATTTCATCACCAAACATATAAATATTTATAACTGAAAAGTGCATTTCGACTCTCTCTTTTCACAGCGCTCAAATTGTTTATAATTGGAATTTTCTCAGCTGTTGCACTTGCATTTTTTTGGACACAAAACAGAGATCTATTTTCGAGAGTATTTTGTTGCTCGATGTGAAACAAAGGCTAAGCGGTTTATAGAATGCAATTGCAAAAGCAAATTTTAATAACTCAGTGGGGTGCTGTCAAAAACAATAGCAGCGACTACAACAAGGAATTCAAACAAACAAACAAACTGGTAAACCACAAGCAACAGCATCAAAAATTGACTCAATTTTAGCATTTTCAAGGTCGCTTGCAGTTGTTTTTGCATTTGGTAAAACTATAAAAGATGTACACAAAAGGTATACTTTGTTATTCTCATTATAATAGTAATATTGATATTAAAAAAATTGGAAAAAAAACATTTTTTTTTATTTATATGTATTTATTTTTGAATTTTCGGAATATACGTTCCTAAAATGATTTTCTTAACTTGCCTTCTAGAAATATTTTTTGAGTGCAAGAGATATTAAATATGGACTGTGGCAAAGAAAACTTGACTGACTGAATAGGATTTTGTTGTTCTCCAGCATAAATATCTCGATATAAAATTTTTGTTTATTGCACTTTACTCACTCAGTGTGCATGTGTGTTTTTGAAATTTTCATTGTTTTTCGTTAGTTTATTTTTGGGCCATGAATTATTCAGTGAAGCGTAACGCTATTGAATATTTCATATTTGCAATGAATTATATATATAATACGGGTAACAGGGTGTAAATTCAGCAAATTATTGTTACAATGTATTTTTTCGAATTGAACTGGAAAAACTGTGCGTATACTTAATATGAATGAAATTTCAATCAAAATAATATACAATTACAATTTTTTTGTTGTTCAATATAAATTAATTGAGGGAAAACTTTAAATTCAACTATAGCAAGCAAATAATATTTTATGTATACAAAAATGTTTTAGTCTTAGTTATTATTATACAAAGTCAAGTTGGTCATATAAGCTTAAAATTTCTTTAATCGAACGTATATTAGTACTGCTCTAAATTCTTCTTATATTTAATTCCATTGAGAAAACCTTTCCTTGGTTTTGTGTAGAGTGAAAAAGGTTTTCTTTCAAGTAAAAGCTAAAAGTAAACTTTTGAATATAGAAAACATGCGCCTGACCTTCAGGCTACACATACCTACGCTTCAGTCATATCTGTTTCGCCAACTATAAATGAGTGGAAAGCTAGAATTACAAATACGCAAAGATATGTATTCTGATGTAAAAAATACGTGCGTTTGGATGAGCGACTTTGCTTAAAAGCATTCCTTGTATCGCATATATATTTCTCGCCCTTTTTTCGGCTTTCGCTGCCTGCGAACGTAAATAAATGCCGAATAAAACACATGGCCGTTGGCCTTTTAACGCAGACATTTCTCTGGGAGACTGGGACAGGAAGCAATTTGTGTGCGAGTGTGTGTGCTCAGGTGAACAGGTAAACAGGTGAACAGGTGAGTGGGTGAGCACCGGGGGTCAGTGAGCAGTGAGCAGGCGTCACAAAAATTAAAAGCGCCGAAAATATAATGCCTGGCAAAAGACGAAAAAGTAGAGCAATAAAATAAAGCATTTCGCTTGTATCTCATTCACTTTGATATGGACTTTAATATCATTGAAATTATAATGACGTGTGTTTTTATGTGCGACCATAAAATAAAAGCACAAAAATTCATTCAGAACTCTGAGGGGCGATTCCAATCTCTGGGCTTAGGCCTCAGGACACCCACTTAATGTGGGTGTAGTTCTCCTTCAACGGTTGGTCACCTCCGAACCCACAAAAAATAGAGGATGCCAGGGCAAAAGTTGACCGGCATTTGACCCTTATTCAGACACCTCCATCGAATCCAATGCCAACCCTCCCAATCATGCGTTCACCTGGCCAATTTGTTATTTATGCCGCATATACGTGTTGATTCTTTATATATGCAAACACCTTATCCATATGCGTGTGTAGATAGCTCTATTGCTCTATCGATCGAAATATTTTTGGCCTTTATTTATTCCAGAGCAGAAACAGGAATTCGGTTTAGGGAATGGGATAAAAATGTATAGTGAAGTGCAGAAAAAATGTGATATAACATAATTGGGATAACTTGTGTTGACATCATTTTTATTTTTGCTCACTGCTTATTTTAAGACGTACTTTCTACTCAAAACAAAATATTTCGGTTGGGTGAACTTGTTTCAGGAACTGAGATTGATTTTATTTTAGTTGATTGTCTCTGCAAGGCCAAATTAATATAGGTGATATGTTTAAAATAGTTTTATATACAATAATTGGATAATTATTCAATACAATTTATATACAATCATGTCCATTTTGCGCTTAGACCTTTTGTCTAGAGAAGTTCTTGAAAAAAAGCTATGAGCATTAACTAATTGTTAGTTCGATAAGATAAACTGTTAAAATTCTGCAAATGATCGATAGTGTGTTTAATGAGGTAAATTTAATTGCTATTAGCAACAAGAATGGCAAAGTTATCATCAAGATAATCAAGCAACCGATAATATTAAGGCCCATAAACCAAAATTAACTTTTTTTTCGAAGTCATTGACAATTTGTATTGTTTTGAGATTAACAATTATTAATTTCGTGCCATTCCGTTCTGTCTGCCTTTCAAAGGGCGATAACTTCACAGGTTGGTTGCCTCTGAAACCCATACGAATAAAGAATATATACAATTAATTACTCGAACTCATTCTTTATTTTTACAATTTTGTTAGCCTGTTAATATAATTTATAGATTTATATATCGGAACTCCCTTGCCCTACTATTGTTTTTATTAAACACAAATATTCTACCAGATTATAAAGGAAGCTGTCTTTGGCTGGTGTGCCTCGCAAATATATCCATTAAGTCTGATACAGAATCTGTCATTTAATCCCCCTCCTCCATTTTTGATGTTAAATTCATCGCAGTGCTCTACATCATCTTGTTTATTTGGCTCTCCCGGAAGCCAAAGAGTAGAGGACACGGGTTGCCCGTTCGAAAACCAAGTATGTTTATCCTCCTCCGCCAAGTCTGTGCCCGAGGTCCAATATCTTGGAAATAAATTGGATTCCGTAACATACTGGGATATCAACTCTAACTCCTCCAAATTTTCAAACGCTATTAATTCAGCATCCATTTGTCGGCAAGATTCGAAGGCTGCATACCAATTAACTTTTTCACTTTTAAATACGTAATAGCCTGATCCGATCTTTACAAATGGAGCAGTAGTTATATTTAGGAACCCTGGAACTCCTAATTTAAATATTCAAAAATTAACTTATTAGTTTTAATCAACGATTGGAAGAACAAATTTTCAATCTCACCATCGATAACATTCGGTGTTATTTTATAGGCCGCAGACGAGGAAATAATTGCCAAAAAGGCACAGAGTCCAGTAAACTTAAGAAACATTTTGCCAAGACTGTAAGACCAATTCGTAAATCCGTCTTTTTATACGATTCCAGCGATGAAAACTAGACGAAGTACTTTCGAGCGATTAGATAGGTAGTTCCTGCCTCTTTACATTCGACACAAATTGGTACAATTAAATTTATTGAGGAATTTACCTTTAAGTATTGCCAGTATCTGCGATAAAGAATATCTCGATACCTTATGTGGCTCTCGAGGGAAATGAGGTCAAAAAGGACTATCTGTCTCCTCCCTTAAGCCCGTAATATTTTCATTTCGAGTCAAAGAGTTTAATTATAGCAACATGCGTATAATTAATATAACGATAATAAGAATTACTTAATCAAATGGCATTAACGTTAATCATACAGTCATATCAGTTAAAATCCGGGGCCCAAAAAAGTTCAAGTACGCACAGTTTCTGGAAATAATCGTGGGAACGAAGCGTGCTACCAACCAATAAAAAATTAGCCAAGATTGTATTAATAAATATGTATGTATCTTCAAATTTAAAATAAAACCAATACTGACATACATATTTTTATAGGAAATTTTTTATTTATTGTAAATCTACAAGTGAATATAACTTGTTAATGTTTTTTAATGGTCAACCTAAAAAATTATGAAGGAAGCTGTCTTTGGTTGAGGTGCTTTGCAAACATACACACCTTTAATATGGCAAGGCCAGTCATTCAAACCAGGTTTTACTCCTTTTAACACCCTAAAAACGTCGCAATGCTCATTTCCATTGTAGTTATCTGGCTGTCCAATGGCAAACAGATCCGAAGACACCGGTTGTCCATTCGAAAACCACACATGTTTATCCTGGTTCGCCAAGTCAGTGCCAGAAGTCCAAAACTGAGTAAGACTAGTCAGTGCCAGAAAATCCATTAACACAAAATATTAGGTGTTATTGTGTAGGCCGCAGACGAGGAAATAATTGCCAAAAAGGCACAGAGTGCAGTAAACTTGGGAAGCATTTCGACAATACATACTTTCATTGTCTAATAAAGTCCGCATATATAAATCTATTCCGAGTCCAATTTGGAAATATGCGCTACAAATTTACGGCATAACGGCCAAATCTAACATTAATAAAATTAGAATTGCACAAAGCAAGATTGTTAGATCCATTTGTAACGCCCCCTGGTTTATGAGAACGAGAGACATAGAAAGAGATCTAAAAATCCCAAAGATAAAATTGTTTCAGACGTCTTGGTTCTCACCCTAACTCATTGGCGAAAAGGCTGTTATGGAGACCAAGAAAAAGAAGAATAAAAAGATACCACCCACATGACCTCCCATCAAGACACATATAATATTTAAAGCTTAAAGGAATTAAAATAGAAATTAAATATATATCGCGTATAATTTGTTATATCTAAAATTTGTTATCCCCTATATTTACAAGCTGCTCAAGTTGCCACATAGGTAGCAGTATACCTGTTAAGTTTTGCAATAAATATACAATTTTTTACTTTTATAAAAAAAAAAAAAAAAAAGATCTTAAATGTTAAAACCAATACTGACATACACATTTTTGAAGGTAATTTTTTATTTATTGTACATATTCCAGTTAATATAACATTGTAATGTATTTTAATGGACAACCTAAAAAATGATGAAGGAAGCTGTCACTGGCTGGGGTGCTTTGCAAACATACCTTCTTTTGATTTCGCAATTACAGTCATTCATACCGGGGTTTGTTTCATCTAAAACCTTAAAAGCGTCACAACGCTCCTCATCATTGGCGTTATTTGGCTCTCCCTTCGCAAACAAATCCGAAGGCACCGGTTGCCCATTCGAAAACCACACGTGTTTATCCTGGTTCGCTAAGTCATTGCCAGAAGTCCAAAACAGACCAAGACCAGTCGGTGACAGAACGGCCTCTATATATTGAGTTATCAGCTTCAATTCCTCCACGCTTTCAAATGTGATCAACTCTGCATTCAATTGCCGACAAGACTCGTAGGCACCATACCAATTCTTTCTTGCAACACTTTCGATTATGTAATACCCTGATCCGATCTTCACGAATGGAGCAGTACTTATATTCAAGAAATCAGGAACACCTAATTGAAATACACAAAAATTAACTCCCCGGAACACAAAAGGTGGAATCTATATTCAATCTCACCCTCGATAATATTAGGTGTTATTGTGTAGGCCGCAGACGAGGAAAAAATGGCCAAAAAGGCACAGAGTGCAGTGAACTTGGGAAGCATTTCGGCAAGACAGTTATGTTTATTGTTAAGTCCGGCTTTTTTATAGAATTTCAGCGATGAAAAACGTCGAAGCATTGTCGAATGATAAGATAACTAGTTCTTGTCTCTTTTCTACCGGCACAATCCGCTCAATAATCTTCACGGTATCTTAATTAATTTTTATTTATCTATGCTGGACAAGGAGGCAGTGTTCGAGTATCGCCTCACGCGCAAAAACAAATACCTAATCAGTTGAATACGCACATTTTTTGCAAATGATCGTGGCGAAAATGAGACATCAGCCCGAGACTCAGATAACATGACCGTATTGACCAAGCTATAATCAATTTACCCCTACTCTTAACCCTACTTCTCTTGCTCTTAATTTTAATTTTGCACACATGATTTAATAGAATCCTACTCTCCAGAGCTTAAAGAGACCATTATAGACACCTGGATGCGAATGATGGCTGAACTTTTAATTAAGTAGAGCTGTCTTGAAATCAGTGATTAGGAAAACGGCAATCACCAAAAATATTTCAATAAGGAGACAAATCTTTATGTCTTTAAGTTAGAGTATCGAATTAAAAATGTGAAAAGGTTTTAGACTTATTATGGTCTATAGATCTATAGCTTTATATCTAATTTAAATTGTTTAATTTTTCATTTGTTCTATTTGCACTCTACTTTTCCATTAATTGAAGTCGATTTTGCGATAAGTTAATAAGGGGCCTTTTTATATACAAAAATAAATATCATTGCATACTTTTTGCTGCTACATTTTATTTATAATGTATAATTTGTTAAGTACCGTTAATTGTTAAGTAGCATAACTTAGGAAATGCTTATCTTTTTAAGTGCTCCCTTGGTAGATAACAATAAAATGCCCAGCTAGAATGGACACTTCATTACCCAATATCTGTTTAACTTTGAACGCGTTTAACATTTTATTTTCACTTGATTTAAACCGAACGGCTCCTTCGCATTTGTGTGCTGTGGCTGGCTGGCACACTCTCCTGTGTTTATTTGAGCTTCGAGTGGGTCGGTTAATTAGCCAACCACTGGGGTCGAGATGAGTTCATTGAAGTGCATATTTCAAGCCCAGCTGAGGCCACTCGATTCAATTAGTTTCAACTGGCGAACAATGGAGGTCGCTTGCTAATTGGCCAGCCAGGCCAGAGGTAATCAAAACAACACGCCAGCTAGAATCGCATTTACTTGGCTCAATGGCGAAAGTCCAACGACAAACGAGATATGTGAGTACACAGCGGCATCAATTAGGTGGCCCACAAATTTGTCTGCAAATGGATTCGGATAGAGCCAACTGACTGACACACCAGCAATCACAATTTACAGAAGGCAGACAGGCAAATAAACCAACATTTACATTGGCCGGGAAAAGGGACGAGGGACGAGGGACGGGGGACGAGGGGCAGGGGACACAGCCCGGGAGACAGCGTCACTTAATCGAATTATGCAACAACATCAACAGATGACACAAGGCGAATGCAGCTGCAAATAACTGCATTAACATATTCGATAACTTCATCAGCATATCCCCTCCCGAACCCTCCCCCCTCGCCATCCGTCTGAACGGATTTTAATTAAAATGCGCATATGGAATCGGCATCGAGACAGACTCGGCACTTTGCTGGCAGACAGCTCAGAAAATCGAATCTTTTAGTCAAATTTCCTGAAATACACCAGCGACAAAAACACAGACAGGATGCCGCAATCTGTTGTTTAACTATCCTGGCTTTTAATCTTATAATCCTGATTCACAAAACATCATTAGATGTTTTTGGATAAGAATATGAGCATTGAAAACTAAAAACTGTATAAGCCATCCTAACAAAATAAAATAAAAGGTTTCAAACAATCGCTTTGTTTTTGAAAAAATTTAAAAACTATTTAATCAAGTTTCGTGTTGGGACGTTAATTACAACTTTAAATACCAAAAAAATAGATTCAAATAAATTATTACATAGTTTAAATCTATATAATATATTTTTATTACAGCTTAAAGTAATATATTTTAAACTATTTAAGAATTGAGCTACGCTTTTTTGTTTAAAGTGTTGCGATCTAACCAATTAAAATTGAGTTCTTTTAAAAGCTTGTGTTGTTTAAATGAAAATAAGTAAAAACCACATAATTTCGTTGCTAAAAAGGCAGCGTAAATATATCAAAAGTGCTTTCCGAAACGAATGTCAAACGAAACCAAACCCGATTTTAATACTTCCTTTTGAAAAACTACTCTGCGAATCGAAGTGAAATTTTGGGTTACCCATGGCCGCGTTCCATTTTCTCGTGGCAGTCACGCTCCTGTGGAGCCTTTTAAGTGCGGCTCAGTCTGCCGAGTGGGAAGGAAACTACAGCGATCCGAGTGAGTAAAGACAATCGCAGTTGGCAGCTGGCAGCTCCACTTTCGCTTTTCGCCCGCAGGACATCCCGGCAAGTGCACCATCAACCCGAACCTCGTCCTGAATCCGGGGGTTAGCATCGAGGATCCCAGGCACGAGTGCCGCAAAATCATGTGCGGACACAACGGACGGGTCGTGTTCCACAGGTGAGTTTGGGCATCTTCCAGAGAGAAACAAAAACTCAAATCTAATTGTCCTTGGGCAGCTGTGGAGTGAGCATCCTGTCACCTCCTTGTCGCCACGGTGGCTACATCAACCCAGATCTGCCCTATCCGGATTGCTGCAGTCGAACCCTTCTCTGCAACTAGGCAGGCCTACTTTCAGTATTTTATTTTCATTTTAAAAACTATACAGAATGTCGAAATCTTTTACATGTTTTGGATCATGGATATTGTCCAAGCTTCTACTGATATTTCCCTTAACAACTTCGCTTATTGAGGTAAGTTTAATTATAAGAGACTCTTATATTATGTCACTTAACTATGATGACTATACAGATTGCTGCAATTTAAATTTTTAGTTATTATATGTAATTATGTCAAAATTGGGCCAGTAGTTAAACTCAATAAATCGATAAAATCCACTTGAATTATGGTAATTTGACAGCTTCGCAGTTTGAAGTTATTTTGCATAAATTGGTGTATTATTAACTGCACTTGGGGTCATAATTTTGTGCCCAGCCAGCTAAACTGTTTATGGGGCTTTGTGCCTTGGCTGCTTGGCAGGGATTCGTGCTGGCCCAGATTTAGTGGCTGCTGGCCAAGGATCCGGATGCGGCCCTTCTGCCGTGGCCTTCAATTGCTCGATGGCTTCCCGGGGGATGGGATTGGATGGGTGGATGGGTTGATGGGTTGGTATTGGGCGGAAGGAGCCGGAAAGATAAAAGGGCGGCGTGCAGAAATTGAAACCACAGCAACAACACTAATTGACATTTGAATGCGACTGTGGGGCAGATTAAGCCCTGGCTGCATTGCGGGTCAAATGTGATGACCTCGACAGTTGCTCCCAATTCACAGCCATCTCGGTTTAAGGCCAATTGCCCTCTGACCCCTCTCATCCCCTCTCCTCCACCATCATCACCACCTCAACCAAAGGGCAGCATCATTTTTCCCCGGCCCTGTAATTTTCCAGCAGCGGGCGATGCAATCAAAGTCGCATCTCAATTATGTGATCGATTGCCGATGAACAGTTGTCCCCAGCAAACTGTTTAATTATTCAATTGGATTTACAACCATCAAATCAAAATTTAGTGTCAGAGATGCGCAGTTAGAAATTTGTATTTTAATATAAAGTAATACAAATATTTGTTTTTATAAATATATATAATGCTATTAATATATTTTTCATTTTTATTTCATTCATGACAAATTTAAGGCCTAATCAATGTAAATTTCAAAAGCTAAATTTTTTAAATATTTTATTAATAGTACCCGATTTAGCATCTCTAATCCACATGCATATTAGTTCTATAAGAGGTACTTTAGCTAATCCCCAGAACAGAAATTGATTTGTTGGCCGTGTTAAACGCATTCAACTGAAACTAATTAAAGTCGGTGTCGCTGAATATTGCCAGCGGATTTAATTTAGACTTACACGCACACCATTAAAATTAGCATTGGCTTATCAAAGGCCAGAAAAGCCTTGGATTGTGTGTTGTGTGGATTTGACCGAGAAATGTGAAAATGTGTGTGGCCATTAACCCAAATACGAGTGGAGGACCAAAAAACACGCCACAAAAGTTCCGATTCTGCAAGGACTGGCAAAGAAATCGTTCGTTCTTTCTTTGTTTGCCCAACCGAAACTTGACCATGGGGCCGCAAAGTTTCGAAAAATGTACGAAAAGTGCACACTGTACAGAGACCGCAGCTTGGTTTTTAGTCGCATGCGAGAAGCGCCGGCCTCAGCATAAAAAGTGAATATTACACTTTTTGTGGACTGTGGGAAGGGAAAGGGGGTGCCCAAGTTAAAGCCTTGCGAAAACACATGTACATACAGCATTTATAAATTGGGCGGGGAAATGGTGACCTCTCGATGCCAGTGTGTGCGAAAGGTGAAGGTGATGCTGGCCGGACTACAAATGTGTACATAAACGGAAACTGAAATAAAAGTCGGCGCAGAAAACGAAAAAATCCAGAGAGGCAGTCGGCAGTCGACAGTCGGACAGCTCAAACTCAAATTCGCCCGCCGCATGGCATATAAAATGTAAAAGGTGCAAAGGAGCAGCTTAAAATATGCAAACGCACAAGCCCTCGCACCTTTGAACACATCCACGTGGGCTGGAAAGGCGAAATCTTTAACTGCTCGAATGCGAACTACAGCCAAACTTTATTTATTCATTACTTTTCACGCGCTGTCTCTGGCGCAAAAAAAAGGTAACTGAATTCACAAAAGCCAGCCCTCGAAATTGAATTTTTGCCCTTATACTTTTTCGTCTTATAAACTACATATTTTTATAAAATTGTTACTGATACAGATTTTTGTACCTAAGTAAACAAATTTACGTTGAAATTATAAGCTGTAAGTGTAGCACTTGCAATTTGGAGTGCTAAACAGAATAAATCTATTAACAACCAAAGAGTATTTACATTTATTATTCAGGTATAAAAAGTCCTATTTAATGACCACAATTTGTACATAGCCAGAAATGGATGTCAATCAATATTAGTTTTACTTGTATATTCTAACGCCATAAACCAAACGTTTAGACTCGCCTTTTTTTCTGAAAAATTTAACGCTTTTATGCTGTTAAAATAATTGTCGAATTTACACGGATCTGTGTCGTGAAATATTATTTCCCTACATTATTATCCTCTTACGATCTAATTTTTAGTTGTCAGAACTTCTCATTTGTTTTCTCACTGCTGTTTGCTTTTTCCAAAAAGCGGAGCTTGCGGTCCCCAATAATATCCTCTGAAATTGAATTTTTCCCCTTCAATGCTCGTTTATGTGTGTTTGGCAAGAGTGTATTCTGCTTTTCCTGCTTTGTTTCTCCAGTGAGTCTGAGTGTGTATGCAAAATAAATTATGAGAGCAAAGCACTGCGGACTGTTGCTCTTGTTTTACGAGCTGTTGGCAAAGATGGTTGCCATAAAAATGTTTCAGGGGTCGGGCGAATTTTTATTCGCCATGATTTGTAGTAGTCGCAACGTAATGCTTGCCATGAATTATGAAGGAGACATTCTCAGACCCATCTGCCCGTTTGCTTTTCAATGCAAATGCATTCAATAGGAAAATATATATTGTTAGAAATAACTAGAGTTGAATTTATTTTCATGCTTTAATAAATGCTGTTCCATTTTCTCGGTTATTAGTAATGGCAATTTCACAGCTTTAGCTTAGTCAAATCGTATACTCCGCAAGGTACAACAAATGAAGTTCCTCTGGCTGGTTTTACTGGGTAACTTTAGAGACAAGTTAAATTCATATTAAGCTTTGATATATTCCCACAAAAAAAGCTTGTGTTGCTGCGGAACATTGTGATAAGCCCTGTCCCATTAAAGATAACCCCGGATGTGCCAGCAGGGACGGAAAATGCTTTTATACCGTTCGCAATCCATGTGTGTTGCAGGCAATCAACTGCTATCGGAAGTCGAAAAGCTTATCTGGTAAATATCGATCGCGGTTTGAGCCAGAATGTCGCTCAAACAATTTTTTTTCAGCTCTGAAACCCGTTTCTCGCAGCAAGTGCAACAAAAACCAACTTCCAATATGCGACCATATTGATACATCATAAATGAGTAGAAACAAAACCCAATTCATAATTTTTTATTAATAATGTATGTAAATGTTTGTATTAAAATAATCGATATACAGTCCTGTTCTAGATAGGTTCCATGTTTAAATATTTTTTATGAAACTTTAGCTCATTATTATACCCATTCAAAAAGCCACATGTTATTTTCGAATTGTCAACAAACAAGAAATTAAAACGTTGTACTAACGAAATAACGTATCCGCCCCGTTGCCCCATCGAAGAGCGCACAGAAGTAGGCAACATCGCGGACATTGGCTAGTAACTAGTTAACTGTAATAGCCGGCCACTGTTGTCTAATTATAGCAAACTGTTTCCATTACACGCCCATTATGCCACGCCCAGTCTATGGAGTGTCTATATTTAGGGGCGTGTGGGGTGTTAGCTATGTCAATCTCAGCTCTACTGGGTCGTTTATCCACGTATAATGCAGCCCCTCCGACGTGACACAAATGGAAAAGTTTATTGACATTTTCCGCTGGTTGGAAGTGGCTCGCCTTCGTCTTCGCTTTGGGCCATGTTTCTTTTTAGCAAAATGGATACATTTGCTATGGACTATATTCATAACAGGAACATCAGAGAACAAAGTTGGAGAAGATTGGACTCTAGAATTAAAATTAAATCATCTTTACCGCAGTTTCAATACACCTAAAATATATTTATACATTTTCCACCAAACACTGTTTTCCACTTTTTGTGAATAAAATAGATTTGATTATTATCTTTTCTCGCCTCATTGTAAACATTAGCATAAAAAATCGATCTACTGCCTGACAAATTGATTTAGGCGCTTTGAACGGTTCACAAACCAAGAAACTATTTATCTTTGGAGAATAAAAAATACATTTTAAAATAATTTGTTGATGTGGGCGTTTTTATTTCCAAATTTAATTAAGCGTCTGACTTATTTCTGGCCCCCAAATGAGTATTCATTTTTTATCCCGCTTTTTATGCGAATTGATGGCTTATTTAAGTTGGCGCTCAGTTAGAAAATAATCGATTGAGCAAATGGTAGGGAGAAAATGCGAATGTTTGCACTCACCTTCAGAGTAGGCCACCAACTAGAATCTGCTGCGCCAAGGATTCACAAAAGATGAGGATGAACGTGAGGCCGCGCCGAGGAAAAAGCCAAGAACAACCACAATGGCCAAGTAGATGGATGCTGCAGGATGTTTGGATGGTTTATTCTTGTCCAAGGTAAAAAGCAGACACACGCGTGCTCCGGCAAGGCAAACACAAACAAAAACGGAATCAGCTCGCTGAAAACGACCACGAAATGTTGCCAATGTGTTTTTTTTTTATTATTTAGCTGTTGTTACGAAAATTCACGCATCACCACAAGGCAATCTTGGCCTTTGTTTCGCCTGCCCTCTCTCTTTTAATTAGGCCGAACTACCTGGCATTATGGCTTCCACTTATCTGCATTCGTAATGATAATGGCCAGCATTGTTTGGTCCATATTAATGCAAAACTCTGCTCACCTGGCGAGCAGCGCGAATAAATATTATCTCAATGCCAGATTGCGTATACGCCGCGTCGGCGCACGAATTTCGCTAATGGCATTTCAATAAGAACGGCAGGAAAAGCTGGCTGACCACAGTGAAGCCTTTGCATGAATAATTCATGTATTTTATTACACAGGCCAAACACAGACATCATGTGTGCGCTGAATAATACAAAAGCTGGCGCTTAATAATGCACGGCAACGTAAGAGTCAGAGTGTGGGGTCCTAGAGAGCGGGGAGGAAGTGACAGGACCTATTTTGCATAAAGGTCATCCAGCATACGACAAAATTCAACTCAATGTGCAACACTAATGAAAAAGTTGCCGACTTTGTGCCACCCCGCTGTCCTCTCCTTCACCATTAAACTTTAGACATTCAAAAAAAGATTTAAACAAACAGGACAAGCTCTGGAACAACATTTGCCAACCGAAGTTGTCCATTTTAAAATTTACAATGTTCTAACTAACACCACATATACAGAAAGTTTTATTAATTATATTATTGCGATTTTATATGAGCTATCACTTTCGAGTTTTATTTTGAAATCAAATATTTCCATTACCTTTTAGAGAACCTTTTAATATTTTTTCAAAAGACTATAACATACAATATAATACAATAATAAAAGCCAATAAAATATTTGATTAAAAACTGTCTTGGAAAAATTAAAATTTTTTTTTAAATTTAAATCGTTTAAATAGTGGCACTAAAAGTATTTTATTATAATATTGCCCTCCGTGAATTGCTTTTTGATCAGAAATCTCCGTGGCATTAATTTCACTCATACGAACTTAACATCATTTCATGACATTGAAATGGCTCTTTGTGGCAACTGTTGTTATTGACGGAACGAGTATTACAGGACCTTCCACAAAGGAGGCTCGGAGAGCGAGAGAGCGACGGAAATAGTGAGCGAGACAGGTGTCAATTGTGTTGTGTTACCTGTTACATGCCCTTGGCTACCCGTGTGTGTGCATGTGTGTGTGTCTGTGTGATTGTGTTTGCGGGGAGAACACAGCTTCCTTGAGGACTTAACCCGCAGGATTGTCCGTTTTGGAGGCTACGGGAATCGTAAATCGTATGCAAATGCCCTCGCATTGTCGCATTCGACGGCGACTGTCGCATAAAACTAAGTGACAAAGAAGGACATTAAAGTTTGTGAGCCGAGAGAACCTGCGAGACACACAAACACACTCACACACATGAAATTGTTATATTTTCGCTCGCCATGAGAATGATGATGATGATGATATTTTCTGATATTGTTCATTACATTGTTGTGCTTTTACGACTGTTATCCTTGAGTGAAGAACTTGCTACAGGATGCTAGCACGAGCACACACACACACACTCAAGCAGGCACCCACACTTTCACACGCACACGCATGTGCGAAACGAGCGAGCTTTTACGGTACTTCTTCTAAGCCGTTAGTTTCCGCCAGAAAAAAGAGAGAGAGTCCCCGAGTGACAAAAAGAGAGTGAGCTGAATTTTCACCTTCGCACTTTTTTTTAAACCTTTTTTTAACTTTTATATTTCAAATGCATTTGTTATGATCTACAATATTTTCGTTTTGGCCACAAAACACGATTTTGGCTAGCACTGCTCACTTTGAAACCACTCATTCAAAATCACTTCGCTGCTGGAATTTCTCGCAGTGTTTTGGCCTGGGCCATTTATGAATATGTTTTTCAATTTTTAAATATTTACAGACGCGCCTCGAGCGAGCACAGCACACGGTATATAATGTTGTTCCTTCGCCCGTTGGATTAGAACTGAACCTGAATAACGGAATGCTAACAAGTTCGCGAGCACAACCGCAGTTCCATTGAGCTTTCCACACGGACCTCGGCGTGGGTGGCGCAAGAGAGCCAAAAGAGAGCCGTAAGATTGCCAAAAGAGAAGAGCTGGCGGCTTAAGAGAGATACCACGTTAATGGGCATTTCATTGGAAGCAATATTTAAAATTAAATTAATTAAATTAAACCTAAGATACACCAAAACTGACCAGACTAGTGTACGTGTTTTTGAAGTCATCATAACGGATAATCAATTAAAATAATGATAATATGTTTTAAGATTGATTAATATTATAGTTAGTTTTACTTTAACATTAAAAATCGAGATTAATATTCCAAAAACTAAAAGCGTTATGTTTGGTTGATATTGCAGATATATATCAACATACATAAATGCATAAAATTTTAGATTTGTTTTCTAAAAATAATGAACATTATGATATATATTTCTTTAATTAATTTTAGGTACATCATTACGGTTATACCATTATCTTAAAAAAATAAAGTTGATTGTTGTTAGACAATATCTATTCAAAAACTAACCTGGCGCCAAAAATGAAGGTCGATATACGATAAATATCGACATGCCTCAAAAATACCGACAATCCGCTGCTCAATTATTGCACTGAAAATGCAGCACTGGTCACACTTTTCTTTTTTGATTTTCAAATTTAAATTTAAACAACTTTATTTTTATAATATCACAAGCAAATTAACATACACAAGACTTGATTTGTTTACAATAATGTTTGCTCCTCTTGGCCTTGAAAAGGCTGCAGCATTAAGGCTATTGAAGGCGCTAGAAAGAAAAAAGGATCTAAAATTAATTCATACAGAAAACAGAGCACTAATATAAATAAGTTCAAATAAAAATATAAGGTTAATTTAAAATTATATCTCTAAACAAAAAGTCTTAATAATACTCAAGCTAGAAAACCGTTTGGTGTCAGTACAATGCTCGAATTGCCGCTTTTCAAAAGTCCCCGAATCAGCGCCAAGTCATCGGGCGTTAAAGACCAGCCGGTCAATTGACCCACGGACTGCAGTTCCGGGCAGCTGTCCATTAGTAACTGAAAATTAAGAACCTCACTTTAATATATAATTAGAAAACAGGCATATAAACTATAGATTCACCTCCACAGACTGTACTGTGAGCTCTGGCGCCAAAGTAAACCAAACATCCTCCAAAACTTTAAAGTCGTGTTGCATAAACATGCTGAAAAATAAAGTTTAAAGAATTAAAGTTTTTCTAAAATTAAATGAGATTACATCAATCATATTTTTTTTTTTTTTATTTTAAAAACTACCTTATTATGTCCTCATCCGTAAACTCCACCGTGTCCACAGCCAACCGCTTGAGATCCGTGGAATTGCATAGGAAGGCCTTCAGGGAACTGGTCATAATGGCGCTACTTAGGATCTCCAGGCCCTCCAGCTGCTGGAACTTGGCCTGACCTTGCCCGTAGGTTAGACTGTCAATCATATAGCAGTCGAGATCGATCAGCGAAGGACAGAGACGAGCCAACTTCCCCAAATCCAGATTTCCCAGGCCCTTGATCATCGTGAGATGTCGCAGGTTTCTGCCAATGGGTCGCTCCAGCAGAGGAAGCAGCTCGGCCACCACAAATTTGTAGATCTTCAATTTTCTCAAATTGCGCGTGTGGAGAGCTCTCAGGCTTCCTGTTTTGGGTGAGTCCAAATAGAGGGTTTCCAGCCTCGGACACGTCTGCATGATGACCTGCAAGGTGGACTCATCCGTGCCCGTGTCATGAATATATTTCAAGCGGCACTTGAACCGGTCATCGATATTGTCGTGGATAAACTTTAGGGAGGCTCCCACGAAGGAGTATGTCGAAAGGGTCTCCACTTGGGGACAGTGCTCCAGGATCAGGGCAATATCCGAATAGCAGATGTTCTCCTCTCCCGGCATTCCCACATCCACAACAGTCAGCGATTGACAACACACGCCCTTGGCCAGAAAATCGATGCCGATCTCCGTAATGTCAGTCTCGCCGGATATGTCCAAGATCTGCAGGCGAGTGCAGCACTTCCCGATCTCCTCCAGCAACCGGTCGTTGGCAATATAGGGCACATACAGCTTAACCAGCTGCTTGCATCGCCTCACAATGTCGTACATGTAGTGCATGTGCTCCTCTTTCACCCAGATTCCTTTGATATTCAACACCCGCAATCCCGCTCCTTGAGCTGCAATCACCTGGAATATATAAATATATTAATTTAAAACTATATTAATTTCCAGAGCTCTCCACTTTGTTATTAATGTTTTTAATTATTTTATAGGAAAGCCATTTATTTGTAAACAAATTGAGAAGGATTTAATAATAAGCTACTGGCATTGTTGTGTTTTTCGCTACATTATTTTAATTTATTGGTTTAAAGAAGAAATCTAGCATGAAACAGACTAATAGAAAACGGTTTTTGATAAAATATGTTTATAATATAAACATTTATTTTTACCAAAGCTATTTTTGTTATATTTCTAGAGTTTCTTATCCTCGCTTGTTAAACTCTGTTGGCTTATTTTCTCAAAAATACCGGTGGCACATTTACAATTAATTGTTTTCCCCCGTTCAAATATGAATCGGAAATACCTGTAGAATTTTCTCGTAGTAGCTGAAAGGGAATACTTCAGTCATCAGAAAAGTGACCCCGCAGTTGAGCAGCATTTGCAGGCAGGTGAACCGCATGTTGGCGTCCAGATAATCCGAGCTCAGGATCACCCTGAGTAGATCCTGGTATATGTTCGAGGTGGCTCCCAGCTGGGCCAGATACTCGTTCAGCTCCACCATCACGATGTTGATGTCCAGATGGACATCCGGAGCATATTGCACATAGCTGATGGTGGACACCAGTAAATTGGCCAATTCCGCCAGGGCACTATCGCTCAGGGATCGCACAGTGCACTTTTTAGACATGTCTCTGTTTTGGTTTGGGCCAAGAAGTAAACAAAATGCGACGCAGAAACCGATGGGAGAAGAGAGCAGGAGAGGATTCGTATTCCTCGGGTTACATCACTTGGAGAACTGAATAATGTTGTTTGGTCAGTTCAGTCACTTCAGTTCAGTAACAAGCAGACTTTCTTAACTTTTCCTTGTAACTATTTTTCAAACATAGCTTTGAGCGCAGATATATTTAGGTACTTTGTATTTATAAACAAAAATAGATTCTAAAACTATATAGGCGATGAAAATCGTTTTTGAACGCTGCGAACGAACGAGCGAGCCAAACAAGTCAACAGCGCGACGTGAACTGAGAGCCATGGGACGCCGAAAAGATTGTTTTCCCCGATTTTATATGCTCAAATAAGCAACATGTTTGTGGGTCTAGCAAATATACAGTCAAACTTCACACACTTAACCTCTTCAGCTTTTAACTATTAAATTTTCTTTCATAACTATAAGTATTAAAACTATTTTGTTATTAAAGTTGGTAAATAAAATTAGTGAGTGGCTTAGTATTTTAAGGACCCTTTGTTTCCGATTGTTTATTATATTATTTATTTGACATTATGGAATCATATAGAAATAACCAAAACTGACTCATAATTTGATGATATTCTATATATGTAAGAAAGTTACTACAGTGCATATATCATATTTGTATAAAAATACATGTTGAGGAATGCTTTTGATCGTAGCTTTAAGCTTTGAAACTAGAATTTCGAATGACAGCAGTTCGATTTAGAGATTTTCGACTGTACACAGACAAGAGGAAACTAAGAGTGTGTTAATCCGTCCGTTTTTAGTAGAGATTCTAGGGCTGCAGGTAGCTGGGCAGCTTCATGCGCATGAATAGCCAGGTGGTGAAGAAGGAGACCAGGATGAAAATGAATCCCATGGCGGTAAGCAGCAGGCGATTGAGGTTCGTCTTTCCTGGGGAGTGGGTTTGATCCATTATTATGAAGCCCAGTCCGCCGACAGTAAACAGGAAGCTGCTGGCCAGACCCTCCATGATATATTGTCCGTTCACGCGATATGGCATAAAGGCCACCGGACGAGAGTGTCCATGCTCATCCACAGTGGCTCCCACACTCGGCGGCTCCACAATCACGTCGTAGATTATTCCTGCGTAAAAGAAATTTCAATAATTAATTGATCCATGTCTAATAAACATTTAATTTCGTTTAACAAATAACCTCTGCTTTTCATATATAAAACCTTGTTTTTTTTTTAACTGCAACTATTTTTTTGTACACAGCTGTAAGCTGAAGGTAACAGGCATTTAGTTAAGTGCAAATTTAGCCCTTCTACAGATATTTCTGTTCCAAGGGATGTCTGCAATTTAATAAAAGCCCATAAATTATAAAATAACTTACCTCCTGTCACCAGAAAATAGGAAAACAATATCACACTGAAGACAGCCATGGGCGACGGCATTGGAATGCTGAATTTTCGGACTTTTATGTTTGGCGGCACCAGGATGTGGAAGGGCAGATTATATAGTGTCTCGATCATGATGTATATATATTTTTATAGCGAGATATTCCAAGGGATGCTATTTATTGGTAATTTTCGATGCGGTGGCACTGTAATTTGCCGGCGTAGGCGTAGTTTGTTGTCAACTATCGGTTAGGGAAGGGCAGTGGTCAAATTAATCGATGAATCGCGATGCGGTTGCTCTTCATTTAACAGACCTCTGTTACCATCGCTATCTGTTAACTGTTGCAACTCAATGAAAAAGAAGAAGATGCACCCAAAATAACAAACAAAACGTAACTTCAGAACAAAATAAACTTTAAATTAAAGTGATATAATCATTTTACAAGCATGGCGGATGCCAATACTCAAGGAGCAGGTGTGCTGGCTGAATAGTTAAGAGAATCAAACAGGATTAATTAAAGTTTATTGCAGGTAAACTGCCGGCAATCACGAAGCGAGTGCAGAATCTGGGCGATTTGGGAATTTGGCAAAGATCCCGCGCCTACCACGATTTGATAGGCTATATAAATGGCACCAGTTCGGCGATCCAGGGGATCAAGACAACGGACGAGATGTACGAGTCGGAAATGCTGCTCAAACTGGTGCGCCTCTTTGACTCCCTGGAGAAGTTGGTGGAGCAGCATCCTCCTTTGGAGCAGCCTCAGCGTTTTGGCAATAAGGCCTATAGGGATTGGGCTCAGGAGATGCGGGAACAGCTGCCGGAACTGATGGAGCAGCTGCTGCCCGCCGCCAAAAAGAGATACCAGAGCGAACTGGAGCAGTACCTGATGGAATCCTTTGGAAATGCCACCAGGATAGACTATGGTACCGGTCACGAGCTCTCCTTCCTCTTCTTTCTGTGCTCGCTTTTCAAGGCCGAGATCCTGCAGGAGCAGGACATTGTCGGAGCCGCCCTGAGGCTATTCAATCGATACCTGGAGTTTGTCAGACAACTGCAGCGCACCTACAACATGGAACCCGCTGGCAGTCAAGGAGTTTGGTCCCTGGACGACTTCCAGTTCGTGCCCTTCATTTGGGGTAGTGCGCAGCTGGCCGGTGAGCTATAAGAATATTTTCCTGAGATTCCCCTTTTCAATGTGTATCTTTTAGTTAAAAGCCCCTTTGATCCCTCGAAGTTTGTGGATGAGCAGATCATCAGCGACTTCAAGGATCAGTTCATGTTCATCAGTTGCATAGACTACATCTGCAAGGTCAAGACTGGACACTTTGGCGAGCACTCAAACCAACTGTGGAGCATCACGGACGTGCCCTCGTGGATTAAAATTAACGCGGGACTGGTAAAAATGTACCAAAAGGAGGTGAGCCCCTTATCTATTAGTATTTGCGCTAATCAGTAGCATTGATTATATGATGATTTATATTATTTAACTCTTTCCGTACAATCCACAGATACTCTCCAAGTTTCCCGTGATCCAGCACGTCTACTTCGGAGAACTGATGGCCTTTGAGGCCGTGTCCCCCGGCACAACCATCTCCAACGCCCGACTGGGTCATGTAGCCCCGCCGCCCTCAAAACGTATCTGCATAGGGACTCCAAGTTTGGTGCCACCAGTTCCGGTGTCCGTGGCTCCTCCTCCGCCCACCGAGTCTCTAAACAGCGATCTAAATGTGGGCGATTCCAGCAGCGAGAGCAGCGACAACAGCGTTGTACTTCGTCCATCGACATCGTCGGCTTCTCTGGTGGCCGCCGCCGAAGGTTCCGGTGATAAGTCCAACACTCAAGCGGCCGAGGGAGAAGTCACCAAAGGACTAGCGGCAGAGTAAAGGTAAAGGGCGTTGATCTAACCTGTGTTACAAAATTCTTATTGATAGCGTTGACCCTCGGTCCAGTAAAACTTGTTTACACAAGCTTAAATGCAGTTTTTATTGGGTCATCTATAAATATCAATTCCTATATCTATTATTTTTTTTATTATTTTATTAAAACTATTAATTACCTACTGAAATAGTTATATAAAAAAAGACTTCAGCTACTGAAGGTTCATAATTTGTGGTTCAAGCTTTAAAATATTCTTGTACTGGACTTTGTTGGCTAACGTATTGCACTCCATTTAATCCCAATTTTTCATCCCCAAATTACCAAAACAAAAATGTAAATCTTAAGCCGAATTTGATGGAAACAAATGTACATTATCCCCGTCCACCTTGCCCGTTTGAAGGAGAAAGAACAAACCTGAAATGTAAAACGAAAGGAAAAGAAAAAAATAAACAAAATCAATATGGCAAATGAGGCATGCAAATACATAGATGAACCCATAGTACATCAACTTTTGCGGAGAGAACAGCTTAAAATAAAAGGAAATTTTAACAAAATGTAAGAAGGAAGTAGAAAAGTGGCAGAATGTAAAACAAAAAAAGTTTTGTGGGGAGTCCCCTGAAAGCATAATCATTTATTTTCGACACATCATTTATCAAACTGTGCGGCAGGAGCCAGCTTGCAACGCCTCCTCATTTCGTCACTTAAGAACTTCCTCCGCTATAGTTTTTTTTTTACTTTTTTTTAGAGGCAGCGCATGCATTAAAACTTTGCCGACGCATTTTGATTGAAGACTTTGAAAAACATGAAAATGTTTGCTTTTCTTCCTTTGTTTCGCTGCAAAAAGTAGCAAAGAGCGGCCAACTTCGGTCATGTTCATCAATTTGACCCAGCCCACACTTCTGTTTTGGAAAATGAGACCGTTCTGGGCTCAGTTTCAGTTTCAGTTTCAGTTCGGTGTCGGTTTTGTGTTTTTGCAAATTGAATGAAATTTGTGGGCGAGCTGTCAGCAGGCGTTCGAACATGATTGAAGGGCGGTGATGGAGGTGATGGAGGTGATGTAGTGGATGGTGGGCTGATGGATGGAGGGCATGGTGGACGGACCTTTCAACTTGGCCAACTGTAAAATGTGGCTCTCAAAGGGACTGTCAAAGCTTAAACCGAGATTTCAGGGCCTCTGACCTTTGGCATTAGCAGTTACCTTGGAAATTTTGGGAAAACAGTAGAAACTTTTTTATTAAATATTCCTTTATTGCTTTTTAGATAAGAAATGGCGTGGAAGATATACAAAAATAATAAAAGCGGGTGAAACAAATCTTTATTGATTTTAATGAATGAGAATATATATTTATCAAACTTAAAAATAACTCATAGATATTATTATACCCGTTACTCGTAGAGTAAAAGGGTATATTGTATTCGTGCAAAAGTATGTAACAGCTAGAAGGAAGCGTTTCCGACCCTATAAAGTATATATATTCTTGATCAGGGTCACTAGCCGAGTCGATATAGCCATGTCCGTCTGTCCGTCTGTCTGTCTGTCCGTCTGTCCGTCTGTCTGTCCGTCCGTATGAACGCTGAGATCTCGGAAACTATAAAAGCTAGAAGATTGGCATTTTGCATGCAGATTCTAGGAGTTCCTACGCAGCGCAAGTTTGTTTCAAAAAGGTGCCACGCCCCCTTTAACGCCCACAATCGCTTATATACGATTTTAAAAATTTAAATATTTCGGAAAAGTAAAAATGCAGTTTTATTGTGTTTATCAATACCTATAGAAATGTAGAAGAAATGTTTCAAATCGGACCATTCGTTAAAAAGTTATGCGTGATCAAAGTTTCTATCTCCATCTCCCTCGCACTCCCTTTACCTGAGTAACGGGTATCTGATAGTCGGGGCACCCGACTATAGCGTTCTCTCTTGTTTTTTATTTTAAAAGTGACTCTTCACACTTAAGCAGTTAACTTACCAATAGTGATTTTGTTTATTTTTTTCTTTCTGTGGCTGGCCATCAGTTTAATTTGCCTTAACTTCCCCCAACTAATTACGTGTGCAGCCCATAGCCATCTTGACTTCTTACAAAGAATGCAATTTGCGAAAGTTCAAGATTTGCTGTGGAAGTCAAGGAGTGGCATAAAAAACCCCACAGGACTAAAAGGAGTCTGCGAAGTGGCGCTCAAACTCCACCCAATACACATAACTGGCACAAAGTTGTCGCAAGAACTTCGAGCCACTCGAACGGAAACTAAAAACGGAGATGGGGCAACTTTGACGTGTGCCGGGTGAAAATTAGTTATTGTCTATGAAGATTGCGTGGCAAAATAATGGTCAAATACACTTGAAAAATATTCACAAATTGCACTTGAGAATCAAAACCAGTTTGTATAGTTGATAATATTTTGTTTGATTTTAAATTCTAAAAGAATCATATGCTAAACAATCAAAACACAAATTTATATCAGGGGTAAGGGTAAACCCAGTTTAATAAGATTATTTGAAATCATATTTGAGAGCTCTTAAATGTCTTGGAATAATTTTTTGTTCTTTATTTTTCCGAGGGAGGGAAAATTCATTGTTGCACCACCTCGATGAGGTAAAGTTCTTGATCAACTTTCGTGTTTTCTTGGCCCGACGTCGACCGGATGGGGGAGTTCAACTTGGCAACTTTGTGTCCGACATTGACCAGAGTCCGACACAACCCACCCGCACTCCATCACGTTCAGCACTCCCCAGATTCACCCACTCTCAAATTAACTTGAGCCAAAATATGCGAGTGGCTTTTGGGGCTCTCTGTTTCTGGTTCTTCGGGTTGCACAATGTTTTCCTCCTGTTTTGTGACTCCATTCACCATTTGTGTGTTTAACCAGCTGACGCAAAAACACCCACGCAGCCCACTTTAACTTCCTTTATCCCTGACAGGAACCCGTTCCCAAAACGAACACAACCCAAATAATGAATACCATCAAGTTTTTTAAGCTGTACCGACATATTTAGACTAGTTTGTATCCTCAAGGTTTTACATTTAAACTGGTTATTGCAATTATTTTATATTTAAGGCCCTAGTTTGAGCGTTTATAAATTAAATTTACAAAAAACAATTTTCATTTTGCAGATTTCACTTTAAGGCAGCTACATTTGGCAGTAAATCACTTTCTTACGAAATAAATAATATGGTTTGGAAAGAAAAAATCGAATGCCATGTAATATCTGTTCTATGTAATATATTTTGTCTGACCCCTAAGAGCTCTTTAACCCCAAGAAACTTATCATACCCTTGTAGACAATCTATACCCTGGTGTTAAAACGGATAACCAAAGAGTTAAACGTCCCTGAGCCGAACGCATTGTCGGTGCAGAAGTGACCAGATATTCCAAGTTAGGAGTCTGCTGTGTGGTCCCATGTGCCAGGCAACAATCGGCAGGAAAATGGGAAAACAGAGGGTGGCCAAGAGGCATATGCCTTGTCCGGTTTTTCATCAAAGGACAGCAACAGAAGGCGTTCGAAAAACAGAACTGTGAATTATTTTTTGGCGGCTGTTGTTTACTTTAGTTATCTTCTGTGTCTTCATCTTGGTTTATATCATTGGATCGATTTTTTTTTAATTTTCATGATATAAGCCCCTTTCCCTTTCCAAATTTTCAAAAAATGGCTTTGCAGAAAAGTGACCTAAAACCTGCACTTCTAAGTCCATAACTTTTCTTGCAGACACCCGATTCCAAAGTGGCTTACATCTAAATGATTGTGGTTTAATTCTCTAAAAAACTGTATACTCAGTTTGGTTTGTAATTTTGGGTCGATTTTTCGTCATTTTTACCCCTTTCCAAATTTTCAAAAAATGGCCTTGCAGAAAAGTGACCTAAAACCTGCACTTCTAAGTCCATAACTTTTTTTGCAGACACCCGATTCCAAAGTGGCTTACATCTAAATGATTGTGGTTTAATTCTCTAAAAAACTGTATACTCAGTTTGGTTTGTAATTTTGGGTCGATTTTTCATCATTTTTACAGTGTTACCCCTTTCCAAATTTTCAAAAAATGGCCTTGCAGAAAAGTGACCCAAAACCTGCACTTCTAAGTCCATAACTTTTCTTGCAGACATCCGATTCCAAAGTGGCTTACATCTAAATGATCGTGGTTTAATTCTCTAAAAAACTGTATACTCAGTTTGGTTTGTAATTTTGGGTCGATTTTTCGTCATTTTTACAGTGTTACCCCTTTCCAAATTTTCGAAAAATGGCCTTGCAGAAAAGTGACCTAAAACCTGCACTTCTAAGCCCATAACTTTTCTTGCAGACATCCGATTCCAAAGTGGCTTACATCTAAATGATCGTGGTTTAATTCTCTAAAAAACTGTATACTCACTTTGTCGTCATTTTTACATTTTTTCCAAATTTTCGAAAAATGGCTTTTGCAGAAAAGTGTTCAAAAACTGCACTTTTAAGCCCGTATCTTTTCTCACGATTTCAAAGTGGCAATTCTCTCAAAGTCTGTATTGAAGTCAAGATTTGAAATTTAAGTTCTCAAAATGTATTTTTCTGTCTATTTGTTGTCATTTTTATATTCTTGCAGAGGGTTTTGTAATTTCGGCTAAAAGTTAAGTTGTGCGTAGGGTCAATCTAGGATTGAGTAAGCTTTAACTGACTGGAATTGGCAGCTCAGCTGCTTTAACAATTATTCCCGTTTTTCCCCTGTTTGTAACCACTTGAGAGCCATCCTTAATACTGTTGGAATTACAAAGATTAGCGCTAATTTCCGACTACCAACTGCTGCTCTCTGACTCCCTCTTCACCCCTGTTTAGCCCCCGCAGTTCGCCTAACCCGCCAAGTCATCAAAGGTTACAAATCACTGGCAGTTTCGCCCAACTTAAAATATTAGCCCAAATGGGTTGAGGAAAACTTCGTCATGCAAACATGACTTGGCAGGCTTCAGGCATGGGAGGGGGTTTTCGGGGGGTGGTGGACGGAGTGGGTGGTCGCTGTGGGAAATTCCAGAGCGGCGGATGCGAACGCATCTG